CGGAGACTTGCCACGGTCTCCAACCGTCCTCCTTTCTCATCCGGGCTTGGGACCGGCCATGGCGGAGTTCTGACTAATGCTATGCAGCCGAAATATTGTTTGCATCAATCTCCTTGTTTAAAAATTTATTCCTTCATCACGTTGATTCAGTTCTGAATACTCTGACAAACTTGAGCACCTCGTTTCAGACGCCGTTTATTCTCCATAGTGCATACTGAATAACCCGGATTCCCAAAGATGTCTACATGCTGTAACGTTTCTTTTTTAAGTCATAAAATTCGTTACTTATTTCATTCATACACTCGTATTGTGTTTGATTGAGAGGGCTGTCCCTCTTTTTTTGTATTTCATCGTGAATTTTGGGGCATGATATGCCTGTTCCTTTTCCTATAAAGAAACGGCGTTGACGCGCGACAATAGAGTGGGTGGATCAGGATCGGGTAAGTTGCCATTGATGTAGCAAGTTTGTATTGTAAAATGCGATTTTCTGTGAACATTTTGTGTTGGTTGGCTAATGCTGTTCTAGCGTCATTTATAACTGTATGTAGTATGACCATTTATCATCAGCTTTGATATGTATTTAGTGGTAAATTGTTTGAAGACTGACTATTTGCATCAAATTTATCACGCCTACACACATTCCTGTTCCGTTCAAAATCCTGGTCATATACTATTCCAGGTTCACATTTTTGCGTTTCTTTCTGTGCCCTTTTTGACTGAATGCAAACGCCTTGGTGCTGAAGTCAATCTTTGCTGAATTACTCATTACGACGGCAAACATTTTGAGCCGTTCTAGTAGAGCTTTCGATTTGCTGCGTCTCGAGATCAGGTCGTAGCTGAAACGTCAAATAACGCCCGTTTTTAACGACCTTCAGGAAGTTCATTTAATATTCTTGGCGGGGTTACATCGACACATCTCTAAGTGCGACGATGAATCTCATGATTAAGAACAGATGTCTGATATTAATTTCCCGGCTGTCTTGAACACAGCTGTACGAGCCGATAACTTTTTTGTAACTGTAATATGA